ATTGAAAATGAATGACTTCCGGCCACTTTGACGCTCTCGCCGCCGGCGGTGTGAACGCACGGTTGGTTGCTCCGAGATATCTCCGAAAAATGGGAATGCGCATGTCGTCACTTCCGGCTTCGAAACTTGGAAATTGGAATCCGACTCGGAATCCACAAGTTCTGATGGCAAATTGAACGTAGTGTTATGCTTCAACTATGGAGGGAAATCCCGGACATTTTTCAAAAGGAATTGCATTTGCAATTGCGTTTTCCATATGTGAACGCATAAAGTGTGACATAATTCAAATGCATTTGCAAATTTTGCATTACCGTTTGCATTAACGAACACTGACTGCCAAATTTCAAATGAAAAAGCAAAGTCCATTTGCAGTTGCATTTCCCATGTCTTACAAGTCATGAGCCTGTCATATTTAAATAGCAAAATCAATTACCACGTCAGCTTTTTCACCTTCTCTGCGTCGCGTACGTAGCCTGCCAAAACTCAAACGCGATTGCAATTCCTTTTTCATGAATTTCCGACGCATTACACGGAAACCTGTCAATCAGCGTCAGGGGTGGGTCTATACTGTGGGGCGTGATTGTATGTGGAGTGACGTCACTCGCAGTAGACGACCAAGAGGGGTGTATGGAAGTAAATTAATGACAAAAGTCATTGATGAAAAAAACACGTTGAATTACACTTATCGAATAAAAACGCATTGCATTAATTGTCAGAGACAAAACGTTCCACGCGCCTACCCAGACGGGCCGCCTCAAACTGGGGCCCAAATGCCACCATGCAGCAGGCAACACCTCAGCACCACACCTGCCCTGATCCCCAACAGGCCTGACCCTATTAACTCTCTGACGGTTTCGACAGTGTTCATTAATTATATAATTCAGTCTCACGTATCTGTTCACTGCATGCGCTTCATTGGCTTAGTATAAGATGGGTTATTCGCTCGTTTGATTCACAGATGCAACCTTAGAGGGATAGTGGGCATGGGGCACATGTTTTGTTCCACCACACCGTGAAAGTGATGGAGTGACAGCGACATGCATGCATGTAGTACTGAACAAGCTATGAATTTGCTTTAGACAATGCAGGAGACGCCTCTTCAGAAGCAGGAAACTCAGAAAGGTGACTGCACATTTGGCAATTCAGCACATGAAAGGCAGACTGGTATCACAGTAACCTAAAAAACAACCAATTCAAAGGCTTAGAGTGACCATTCGTCCCTCTTTATTCCCAGACTTGTCCTCTTTTTTGGGACCTAAAAATGCCCAAGATGTCCAGGATTTTGCTTTGTTTCATGCTGACATTTGCTTTCTACAGTCAGCATACTTTCAGGTGCATATTTGTGTTGCTTTGCCGTCTCCCTTCACGTCCTGTTCTCAGTGTCCTCTTTTTGCAATTAAAATATGGCCATTTAAAAGGCCATCTGGTTTCATTTGGGGATGGAAAGAACTGGCAAAACTTCCTGTATTAACAAAAGTGATCAAACAAAAACCTTATGGTTAAGCCCTCAGCACCACTCAGCAGAAGTGAGCATACAGCTTTCTGTCCACTAGGGGGATCTTACGAAATAAAAGTGGGGAACGATCTGGAGTGGAGGGGGGGACCAAAATAAAAAAATAACCACAAATAATGTTACAGAAGAAAAAAAACAATTGGAAATAATCTGGATAGGTACTGCATGGTTTACTCCTGTGCTGTGGGACGTAGCATATATTCAGGTGAATTCATGATTATCCATCCGTTTTCTGAAATCACTTGTCCTGTTCAGGGTCATGGGGGGGTCTGGAGCCTATCCGGGGGGCCATGGCTACACCCAGGATGGGGCAGCCCCCCACCGCAGGGCACACTCACACACCATTCACTCACGCATGCACACCTATGGGCAGTTTGGCAACTCCAGTTAGTCTCAGCATGCTTTTGGCCTCCAAGGGGAAATCGGAGTACCCAGAGGAAACCCCACCCTGACACTGAGAGAACATGCAAACTCCACACATGTGGAGCCATGGCAGAGACTCAAACCTTGATCCCAGAGGTGTCAGGTGACAGTGCCAACCACTGCACCACTGCACCACCACACTGCCCCCAATATCTGATTGTACATACACAAAAAATCCACACAGTTCCCACATATTCACTTTTTTATTGTCTTTTATTCTGTTGTTTAACACTGTGCTCCATGAACACAAAACATTAGTTAACTTATGGTTTGTATACAGGCAGCATGGGTGACAAACTGACAATTTTATTAAAAATAGTAGTTCATTTTTTTTTATGGAAGACCAAGAATTCAACTAAAGACAAACATGCAAAATAAACAGAAACATTTTACATTAACTGCACCTTCATAATGCATTCATCATAGAACATTCAGCGCACCCTCATAATGTATTCTTAACAACACGTAAGTATACCTTAACATCCTAACATGCCTTAACAGCTTTAAAATACATTAACAACAAATATGATTATGATTATAATGTTTGTTATTTCTGCAATGGGCTGCCCCCCGTCCTGGGTTGTTCCCCGCCTCGTGCCCGTGGCTTCCAGGATAGGCTCTGGACCCCCTGTGTCCCAGAAGGATAAGCGGGTTGGAAAATGGATGGATGGATGTTTGTTATTAATGTATAGTTCTATACTACAGCTGTTAAACTATGTTAGGATATTAAGGTATACTTACAAGCTGCTTATGAATGTTCTATGAATGCATTATGAAGGTGCACTGAATGTTCTATGAAGGCATTATAAAGGCATCATGAAAGTACAGTTACTGTAAAGCATTGCCAAATAAAGAATGTTTGTTGTAATAATTCACATACTGTATAAGGCATTAACTTCCTAAAATTGCATATTCTGTGCTTATCACACATTAATATTCATTGTAATAATTGTCTTGCTATTGGTATTAGTTCCTCCCATAATTCTCTGCTCCGCCTTCTTGCCTATTGCTGGTGAAGGGAGGACTGGTGCATCACAATACGGATGTCAGGATGATAGATCATTGCTCAGAACATTTCCTGTGGAAAGAAAAAAAAGTTAATAGTGTGTATTTCTGATTTCTGAACGCTCCTTTTACACAATTTAAGGAACAACCAAAGAGAACAACATCCAACATCCGTGTTACAGTTACCGCTGTCCAAAAAAAGAGAGGCACGTTACCTGTTCCAGATCACGGTCCTCTTCCTGGAGGTCAAAGGTCAGCTCTTGCTTCTCTCTCTCTACCTGCTGCCCACAGAGATGCATAGTTACTCCCACAGCCTTCCCATCATCCAGTCCCACCCCCCCATTTTGCTTTCTGAATTTTCCTGGAATCTCTGGGCGTAAACTCTTTTGAACTCTATCTCATTACTACCTAATGAAAAGGTTCCAAGAGCCTCTGCGGAATATCTGGGGAGTGTGTGTTTTCTGCCTTACTCATGTCTTGAAGTATCTCAGCTCTTTAATGGAAATGGGAGAGAAACGGTGAGGTAAGCATTAACCACATGTGAGAGTTATTTATTTTTAATCCTATATTGCTTTTACCTTACTTTGGACAGTTGGCTCGGAAACAATGGGTCAAATCACAAAAAGTTTTTTTTTTCTTTAATTACTATGAGTGAAAGAATATAACAAAATTTGACAGTGTGCACCTCACTGTGTCCTCCAGAACATTAAAATTGGCATTGTTCTACACAATTCTATTCCCTGTTTCAGCTAGTATCGAATCAACCATCCTAAACAAGCTAGCGCTTCCAGTTTAGAGGTAGTATTCTGGGGATGTCACTCCTACTCTGGTGCCAGTGTTTCTCTTGAGCTACCGATCTTGGATTTGTTTCATGGAGACTGAAGTGCCATCGTGGAAGAGGAAATGGAATGTGCAGAATTAATAATAACCAAGAAAAGGATGAAAATTGGACAGAGAATATTATGAAAGGTCCCGCTAACTGAATGGGTAACGAACAGTGTGCTCTCAGGTTCAAACAATAACACGGCAGACAGCGAATGGCCCCATTGTAAGCCGCTGGAAAGGCTACAGGTAGCTCCGCTTCGAATTTGTAACCCACGATTCCTGGAGCTGTTTACCTTTCCTGTTGCAGATAAGACTGCAGCAGGTTGAAGGAGAGAAGAGGACTAGCAAAGGTAAAAGCAGGGAACCCACCTGTTAGCTAATCTCTGTATCAATGACTTCATCTCCAGCTCTAATTCTTATTCAGACTCCATCCCTCACTTTCTAACGAGCTAACGAATTCATTCACTTTTGTATGATGGAAAGATGTGAAGTATATAGTAGATCAGATTTATTGAATCTATTTAGTAGCTCCATGTTTACACATTTCCTGTCTTTCAGTTCAGTGTAAACTAAGCTACGTCAAAAAACAGCATTTGATAACGAAGGAAGCTTTGTGTTTCTTTATCGACCAAATGAAAAACATGGTTGACAACCATGTATACAGCCATACATTAGCGCATGCATGGAACCTTGAAAAATGCACAAATCCCTGCCAGGCTGGATTAGGGTTGCCACCTCTCCCGGTTTCCTGGTATTGTTTTCTTTTTTGAGCAACTGTCCCAGAAAATTAACATTCTTTCCCGGGACACGAATTGTCTCGTTTTTTTTTAGAATTTCGTAGTTTCAAATAAAACCTCACTTGGTTTCCTTCCACCGCTATTAAAGGATCGATTATTCTTTTTTATTCATGTCTATACATCCAATCCCGTGTCCGTAAACGGTTTAAAACGAGTAAAGAACAGCGACGATTGGTCATATTTATACTTTTATTTGACTGGTAGCATAAATACGAAGCCGAGCGCATCCACATCCACGTCAAAGAAAAAGCGATTTACGACGTGCAACTCAGGGAGGGCGAATAGAGAAAACGTTACTGAACGGATAAGGCACAACCAAAGAGACTTAATTGGAGGACATTGCACAAAACAGAGTTTCCCAGTTACCTGGATAACCTAAGCCGAACGTGGAAACTGTCCAGTAGGAGGAGAGCTAAGCTAAGGCTGCCCCCAGCTCTCCGCCACGCGTATTTTGTGTCCATCCAAAATATGAAGGAAACGCGGCGCTGGGAAATTATGCAAAACTAAGTGGCACCAGAGTTTTGTATTAACCAAACGCGCATGTAAAATGTAAATGCTTCGAGTTTGCAACATTCATTGGGGGACAGCAGGGACTTCTGCAGGGATGAGGAGTACACATGGAAAAGAGCTGAGAAATGTCAGTGTCAAGTTATCCAAATTCATTAAGGTAAAAGGTTGCATATAATGTATTATAATACGTATAATAATGTTTTCATTGCTAAAGTGAGTATACCTTCGGACATAGATATAGGTTTTATAATTAGACCATATATATGTACTCGTTAAAAAAAATCTGTATTTAAGGTAGAAATGGACAGCAGTTGGCAAAGTGCCAGCGTCCAGATTGAGCGCAACTGCGTCCGCGTCAGGATAAATATAGGTAAGAGATGCATATAGGGAGTCCTTCAAATAATAACAGTATGTTTGCAAAAAAAATTTAATCGCAACCCCCCAAAAAAGTCCAAGTGTCCTGGTCTTTCACAAATCAAAGGTGGCAACCCCAGGCTGGATGGTGGAACGTAGGTGGATGCAGGCTAAATCTTGAGCTCAGTTAGCGGTTATAGCATGGCAATGAAAAGATGACAAGGAAGGCTAAAAGTGACCCTGCCTTGCTCCTGTTCCTGGTGACCCTGGCCCTCTGCTGGGCGTAGAGGATTGCGTCGTGGACGGAGGCAAAGAGGTGGCCGCGGTCCATGCTGCCTTCTTCGAAAACTCCACCGGCTTCAAGTTCATCATACACCTGAGCTATAAACAACACAAAGAGTAGGAAACCGGTAGCGACATCGCTGTTTGTTTTAGGATTTTTTAAAACATAATCATTGTGCTTTGGGTGTGGGCAAAACGAATATTAAAATGCTCTTTCTAGTCTTTGATCTGTTTCTTTTGATAACTGCACTTAAAACAGAAAAAAGTTTAAACGCTGAAAAGATGAACAGTAAAACTACAAAAAAAAATCCACAGTAACAATTACTATTTATTTTAGATAAATATATTTATTTTGGATTTCCTGACTAACAGTTTCTGTTGGTTTTAGATAACCTGAGTTGTGCTTTAGAAAAAACTAAAAAGGTCAATTTAAAATGTTGTAACATTTAAACGAAATAACCCCATTGCATTGTGCACATGTTACCGGTTCCTGTGCTTTGAGGTGACGTGTACTCAGTCATTCATGTCAGTCATGCTTCCTTACAACAATTAATAATCTTTTCCAAATGTACCTCTCTCCTACAGGAGGTATTTAGTGACTGCAGTTGACACAGATAAAAGACAAGGCAGTCAACTTAAGCACAGGACTTTTCATGCTCCAAGCCAGTCTGTCTCTCCCTTCCTGGCCTAAGTGTCAGGGATGTGCATACATTGCATACAGTGATGTGACTTTGAATGTTCCTACATATACTACAAACAACTAAAAAATCCTGACCTTGCAATTATGTAATTCTAAAACATGCAGTGCAAAAAAAAAATTTAATGACTGTCTGCTTTGTCCACATGGGACTGCATGACCTTTCCAAGATTCATTGTTTCCTGCTATGGGGATGAGGTAACCATGGCGATGGAATACGTCTGTTTCTCTTCCCAAATGCAAGCTTTATCAGTTTCCCTCAGAATGACACCTTGTGTTTTATTAAAGCTAATTCTATTAGCCGTAGTGACAGCAGCTTACTGATTACCCGAGATCAACAGCTACAAATGCAAAACATTGTGCTGATATTAATACAGTGATATTTATTATAAATGTCATTATTTTAGAATGCATCTACAGAAATTTATAAATATTCTGGTGCGAAAGGATTTTGAACTTTAGACTATAGAAATGCAACTACAGTACTTTATATCCTGCAATATTATTTTACACTGTAAGTCTAAGACTCATCTGCATTTCAATTCCAAAACTACAGTAACATTACTAACATTTTTTTGACACTAAGTGAAATGTAATATTGTAAGATCAAGGTGTCACTCTAATGACCTCAAAACTATGAGTAAAAAAATCACAGCACTGCTGAGGTGTTATTAAGATGGTTCACATATTAACTGGTAATTTCTGCTTGAATATTAATCTCTCGCATTGTCCTTTGCACATTGACGGGCTACACACTGGCTCATTGTACCATGTTTCCATGGCAACAGCTTTGTCAACATCCTTGTGCATCCCATTCCTCCAAGGGTAAGAGTCTCAGAGGGAGCCGCCTCACCTTGGATGTTGGCCAGATACAGACTGATCCCCAGCATCTCGTAGCTGGAGCTCATCTGCACGGGAAGAATGAATGATTACAGGGTGATTATACCACTCCAGGTTCAACAGGGGACTCCTTCACAAACAGTGGGGAATCTGACGTCTGCATTCCAACATGGCCTTGTACTTTTTGCCCTATAATCTATAACTGGATCCAATTTATCCACAACAGAGAGAATTTTATTCCAGCAAGGAAATTAAAAGTACTGTACACTAAAAATTGGTTCTAAACCAGGGGTCTCCAACCTTATTTACAGTGTGATCTACAAAGAAAAGAATCTGGGGAACTGGCAACTGTAAAATATGTTGACTAGGGAGAGTGGCACTGGTACCCTCCAGACTACTAGTATAGGGTGACCAGATTGGCCCAGTTTGACCAGAACAGTTCCAATTTGAGGCTGCACATCCTGCTGTTCCAAGATATAATTGAAAAAGAACAATATGTCCTGGTTTTAGCATGCTTTCCATCTTAAAAAAATGATTAACGTGCAGCAAACAGAGCTCAACCAACACACACACACTACACAAGTGTCCCAGTTTGGGACTTTAAAAATGTGGTCATCCTATAATAGTACCTCATTGTTGACTCGCTGGCAACCAATGTTCTACACCACTGAAAGATTCCTGCATTTTCTTGTGCAATAAAGTACCTCAATTAATGCCTATTGCATTTATAAAAGAAAACACAAAATGCTCCAGCCCTCAGCTAAAAGCTAATTGGCCTCCTGTGGACTCCCTTCCCTATCACTCACTGATTCCAAACATATCATTGGCTAATGATAAGTTTGACCTTTCAGTATGAATTATGGCCCCTCACCTTAAAAAAATCAGAGAATCACCTCCGGTTCAACATTCCCTTCCAAAGCAAGACTAACAGAGTACAATAAATGATGAACATAGTGGTGAATTTAATTGCCAAAGAGGGGGAAAGGTTGAATGGCCCACCTTAGTCAGCACCTTGATGCCCATGAGGTCTACAAAGCAGACACCTGCCAGGTCCAGAACCAGGGTGTGGAAAGGTAAGGGCCAGGGCTCCATGGTAACGGGCAGACCGCCGGGGGGGTCCGGGGTCGGGTCTGGGTCACTTTCGTCCATGATGTTGCAGCTGAAGTTGACATATGCTGTGGGCATTTCAGTCTTGGAGCTGCTGGTAGAGCTGGAGTCAAAGTCGCCCTGTAGAACCATCTGTGATATGGTCTAAATGTGGGTGATATGGGATGGGGTGGAGAATCAAGCAAACACAGAGTCACTGTGTTATATTATAGTCTCAGAACAGCTAGGCTACAAATTAAATAACTGCCTTATCAAAAAATATCACAGAAAAAAAAGATATTTTTGTAGTATAATTTGAAAATTGTGATGGATCCAATTGCACGAGCTCTCTGAATCTTCCAACCAAAGTAAAGTCATGTGATTTATTCTCAAAGACATTATTTACACATCAGCTATAAATATATTATTGAACTCATAATCAGAATTGCCCTGTTCTAAACATCCTGCTTGAAACATATGATTAAACAGAACTGGCTATAGTCTCATTAATTGCTTTGCTTTATCAATTATTGAGCAACATCTGAAAACGTTCCAGATATTGCATAGCTACATAAGGGCAGACTGCTATACCTGTAAAATACTAGCCTGTAAAGTTTCTTTTTTCAGCTATGATACCAAAAGGTCTTCGTAATGGTACATTACATTATTTTGGTCACAGGATATTGAGTAAATCAAAAATTCCTCAGAAAACACAAACAGTTTCCCCAGTGCTGACGGACTGCAGTGCTTTAAATGCTTTAAATCAAAAACCTGAGCAACCTGGTTTTCATGATATCACACTCGCTCCTCCTTACCTGGGTCTTCATGGTGACCAGGGAGCCTCCCTTCCTCTTCCTCGCCCCCGTGTCCTGGCTCTCACTCTCCTTCAGTTGCTTCTTCAGAAATTTCTTCCTTGCTAAGAGCAGTTTTCCTGGGTCCAGCCCAGTCTGTTCACACACAGACCAGGGAAAAAATGCATTGTGAAATTTCATAGTAAAACTGTAATCTTGTCTGACAGATTTACTATGTACTGTAACAGTCTGACCATGTATTATTTCACAGTTTGACCATGGGTTTGCACAGTGAATTCGTACACTTTTCATGGTTCTACCGTGAAATCTATATTCGAAGTTTGGATTTTCTGACTGTGATGTTTACCAGATTAGAGATAAGCTATGGACAGTTCAGGATTCTACTAAGAACTACTTTGCAGTCAAACTGGTAACTTCACAGTATCACGATTCATGGTCCTACTGTGACCTTTATGGTCAGATTCACTGTCAGCTTAATAGTCCCTGCAACTGTTAAGTCGCTAGATGGTAATGGCTGGGGTGCCTTAAAATAAACCCTAAATGATCTGTAAAAAAAAAACAAACAGAAAACATCACATAAATTGAAGTGAATCCAGCACTAGTGATGTCCTTTGGGGCCGTAAACCAAGAAGCAGCTGTAAAGGCTGTGTGGGACGACATATGCTCAATGCAGTGGAATATCTATGATACGATGAGAAAGCAATGCTGCAGAACAGGTCATTCTGACATGAAATATGGTTAATGACAGTCCTGTTCATTAGACCGGCCTGTATCATGGCTTGAAGCTGACTGGACAATATTACCATTAACTCTTCCATGGTGGAAATGATGAAAGTTCATACAGTAGTACATAGGAATATTCATAGTTGACTGTAAACTGTTGATAAAACACTTATCAAACTATCAGAACCTAACATCACCATTTATCTGAAATATTTCTAGTTAAACTGTAAATATTATGACTAAGATGACTATTAAAAAAAGCTGCCAAAACTGAACTTCACAGTTCAACTATAGCATGTTTGTAGTTGAACTGTAAATTTTACTGTCAGAATTATTACACCAGAAGAGGTGACCATTAAGAGTTTTACTATGAAATGTTCATGGTCAAACTGTAAACTTTATACTAGAACTATGAATGATTAAGGTTAAATTATAAACTTAGCAGTTTTACTGTGAACTTTCACAGTGCATTCTTCCGAGGGACACATATAACTAACTATAACCATATGAAAAATAAACATTTTTATTTTAAAGCAGCTATCTGCAATTAAATCAAGAAAATGTACATATTCATGGTAGATGTGATTATATTAAATCATTATCTGAACATTTCTACAGGCATATTTAAAATAATACTCCCATTGTAGACAAATAATGTCGTCTCCTAGCAAAAGAGTCTGAACACTCACCTTTTTAATCACTTTTCTGCGGAATATTTCTGCATTGGCAAAGTAAATGGGGGAGCAGTAGTTGACGATTTTAATTCCCTCCACAAATTTCACCTATGAGATCAAAGCATGACAAGAAGACACAGTAAACTGAACCTTGAAGAGTGCAAACAAGTGTTGATGATCCAATGAAAATTACATGTGACTCACGAGCATAAAATGCAGATCTTAATAAAAACAGGCTGAAGTAACATTTCTTGTGCAGTAAGGTGAACTTTTACGTCTTTGTGTGCCTGAATGAGCGAGCATGCCAATGCAGCTGTCTTTGAATCTTACCTTACTGTAGACCTTAGGGTTCCTGTATAGGTCACTGTCAGCGATCTGCCCCACCTCTGAGCCATTTCGGCTGTAAAAAAACATGTAAATCCAACATGTAGCGCTGTGTTTCAAAATTATACAATGGTAAGAAGCCTCTTATTTAATCCCCCCCCCTTTTTTGACAGTGAAATAAAGTTCTCACAAGATCTAATTAATTTATGTAATTGGATATCAACTAATGTGGATTTTGTGCTATGATGATCCAAATAAGCAAATTTTCCTGCAATTTAAACTTCAAGTTTACATAGAAAACTGTCAGACTCCCAAAGCAGCAAATAGATTAAAACAAATTTAAATCTATTTAAAATAAATGTAACAAAATCTGTAAGCTTATGACCAATAAAATAATTCAATTGTATCTTTTTTCATGAAACAGATTATAAGATGCTTTGTTGACAGAACAAAATACTATTTCCTGCCTTACGGAGACGATGGGCAGGGAGGGGATGTTTTTCGACATTATACATGAAGAAGCCTTGATAATTAGTGATAAAAGAAATCTATGACATTGGTTCCACTCACAACTGCGTCTGGAAAATGACCACGAGGACAGAGAATCCCACCCCGATCACAACTCCGTAAGGCAGACTGACGAAGAACGTGGCCAAGAAGGACACCACCCATACACACTGAGGAGGGGAGCGGAGGGGAGAGGTAGGAGAGGAGAGCCGGACACATCACATCACTGACGGGCACACAACTGCACCAGCTTATTTCTGAGATGTCTTTTTTTGGACATCCAGATATGGAGCTAATTGAATGTACAGTAGCTATGCATACTTTACATGTTCTTCAAAATGTTAACATTCAAAAATATGTACAAATTAGTATGTTCAGTTACGCTTGTACCCAGACTCAACTTTGTGGGTGTGTGTTTTTTTAATTATTATTGGTTCTATCTGAGCATGAATTAGAATTAAGAGAGACTGTGTCATGCTCCCTAGTATGCATTTGCCTCTGTGTAAGAGGAATATTTAATAAATATAAATAATAATAATATTTAGTTAGGTCTATTTTGAAGTTAACATGTTTTATAAGTGGATCACCTTCATTTGGTAGCACGGCCAATACTGAATTCACCTTTGCAATTTTTTTTTATTATTACGGGTGACAAGTATGTAAATCTAGAAAGATGTATGCATATTTTTACACATTGTTGTATATCTATTTAGGTCATGAATGGATTTTATCAAATAAGCAAATATATTTTTGAGCCTCTGAAATGTAGGATTCTACTCCAATGAGATTTCCCGCTTTTGTTCTGTTATGAGGTCACCATGTGCTTAACTCACACAGTCCAGTCTGTTCTTCTTCCACATGTAGAAGGGGTCTGAGAGCTGGAGGAGCGTGTTCTTCAGGTTGACGGCTATTAGAGCACCAAGGACGGACTGGGGACGTGCACAGCAGTACAGAGCGATATGAGTCATGTGACTTAGCAGAAACATTCATTCTTTTCCTTTTTACCTTTCATTCTCAGTGCAGCAGAGTAGCGTTGATTTACTCACTAAGAGAATATGTACGAGCCTTTGGGCCATATATATCAGTACATCAAGCTGAGTACCATAGTACAACCTGGCCTACCAGCTAACCTACAGTAAATTTACAATTGCAAAGAATTTTAGTCTGCAATTAACTATATTGTGGGATGTTCTCACCTTAGGTAGTGGCTGCAGGAAGGCTCCCAGAGCTAACATGGTGATCATCACCACCAACATCACACACAGGCTGGCAAACTAGAAGGAGAGCGCTTATAATGTGAGCAGAAGGCAAAATGAAAATGAATATTTAAAAAATGTGTTTTAATGGAAAGTAGTTTCTCATTCTGCAAACACCACAGATGCATTTAATTAAAGGCAGTGTTTGCTTGGTAATTAATACATCAGCCGCTTTATCGTCATGCATAAAAAAAAGTCACATGTGACATCATTGTTGTCAAGCCTAAAAACCAGTCTTGCACTTTTCTCAAACCCTTACAACCGTAAATCTCTCTGCTCGGCTGCCTGCTAAGCGCCACCTGACCTGCGAGGTCCCACCGGCGCTGTCCACGGCCAGGGTGACAGACAGGGCGCAGCAGATGACGTGGATCTTAAAGAAGGAGCCCAGGAAATTACTGCAGCCCAGGGCCAGCATCTCCTGACCAGAGAGAGGTGCATGGAGAGAGTGTAAAGTGTGACAGTAATATGGAAAGAAGCAGGGCTTCAGGATACAAAATAAACAGGGCCTTTAAAAATGTTATGACCTTAGACTCATAAGTATTTGTGGAGTGGCACCGAAATAATGGTGCAATGAAGTTATGATTGGCTGCTTATATATTGCCCCACCCATTATCTTACTCCCAAGGCATTCACACCTGATTGGGGTCGACATCATAGCCATGCTTAGCCGCCAGTGTCCGGCCCATGGCCAGGTTGATGACATATCCTACGATGGCCAGAGAGAAGGCTGTGCTCAGCATGACCTCCCACTCACTCACTTTGGGGAGGATGGGTGTGGGGAACCTGTTTGGATTGGGTCAAAAGACATGGTTGGAAATATTTATATTCCAGTGAAAATCAGAAGAACTGGCTTTATCGCTGGGTGTGCCCTCACCCGAGAGGAATCTCTCCAACGATGTCCATGTGGTATTTCCTTGGCATGTCAAGAGGCCCAGAGATAGCTGTAGCAACCACCACCTACGTGAGAGAAAGGCCCATTAAACACAGAAACGGAAACCACAGTTAATCACCCAGAATCATTCTTTTATAGATGTATAAATATATTCAAAGCATGTCTTTACTGTTTTTGGTCCTTATCTTTCGGCAGTTGAGTCAGAATCTTGGTGTTTGTAAACTATAACATTTCATTATGAAATTGTCATTTAGATACCTCTGTACATTTAAAAAGCAGGAAGTTTCAATAATATCATAACAATTTTAACATTTTTAACTTTCTCTGCTAACACTGGTAAACTGAAACACTGGTTGTTTTCTTACCGAATGCTTTATTTGTATAGACATGTGATTGTTTTGAATTTGTGTATTCAGAGACGATTCTAAGATTTAAGGTGTGGGGTGTAAAAGAACCCATAATTCATAGAGAGGGGAGGGGCCAACCTTATCATTAGCCAATGATGTTTGAATTGGTGAGTGACGGGGAAGGGGCACTCCGGGGACCAATCAGAGTTCAGCTGCGGCCAGTGTCCCTGTGTCCCCCCTCCCCTGTCTATACTTCATAAAGTTCTTTAAGGAAGTTATAAATAATAGTGCACAGTGTTCTGACTATGTGTGTTTTCCCTAACCGTTGTGAATAAAGTATCATGAATAAAGCATCATAAAAACACTGTGCTTGTGGCATTCTCTTTCGATCTCCTGAACCCCTCCTGCCACGTTCCCCAGCCCAGGCTGGTGGTCTTGCTCACTATGATGATCTCCATGGGGATGGGGAAGGGCAGCCGGTGGCGGTAGCGAGCACTCAGCTCCTTCACGGTGAAGAGCACCACACTGCTTATAAGGGCAAAGACCAGGGAGGCCACGTTGGTATGGGGAAGGCCATAGACAATGTCCACCAGGGTCTAGGGCACAGAGTATGCAAGTCAAGTTGGGTCAGTATCAACATGGGCAGGAAGGCGTGGTGCTGAACTGACAAGAGCATGACATTGTATCGTAGGGTCAACTGTCCAGAACACACAAGCAGAATGAAGTGTATTCTACACGCACAGGAAAAGCTGGTTCTTTTAAGAGAAAACATCTGAACAGTCTTAATTACATATCGCTTTAAAACAACAGGGATTGTTCTCATTGCCCGCATCTATATGAGCATTCGTCATCTAAAATGCTTTTTCATAAGTACAAACAGAGTTATTGCTTAAGTTGACTTTTGTTGGGTTCAAAGCAAGCCATTTTGCAAACTCCGCCCCCCAACCGTCATCATTTTCCATAATCCAATAAAAAGAACATTTAGCAGAAAGGGACTCACATAGATGACGGCCAGCGGTCCGCTGTAGGGCGGTACTCGTATCCCAAATATGTACTTAAGCACAGAGATTAGGATCTGCAGCCCAGCAGCGGTCATAAAGCCACGGACAAAGGATTCAGACAGGTAGATGGCCACAAATCCAAACTGCATCAGACCGAGGCCCATCTGCTCAAAGAGGAACATACAGACACCGTCTTTAGCCATGCATCATATGGCTTAAGGGAGGAGCATCTTGACTTAGATTAGCAGAATATTCAGTTGTTGATGAATATTGATGTTGATGATGTAGATGGTAGATCACCATAATAGGGATATATGGTATGTCCAGTCATCAGCTAACCCAGTAAAAGTGCCTATGTCCTTTATTTGCTTTTCCATTTGCACTTGTTAAAGCTCTCGTACCTGTATGATGGCAGTGAGGCAGGCTAGGGTCCCTGAGATGCCAAGGCGAACCTGGTTCATCATCTCTTCGTCCACCACAGTCTTGTTGAGGGTCGTGTTGAAGTGGCTGAAGTCAGAGTCGGGAGCTAGGCTCAGGCATACCATGCCCACCATGATGCTGAGGACGGCAAAAGTACCTAGGCAGAGAGAGGCCTCTCTATGAGCATGTCCCACACCTTCCAGAAGATGCTACTCCAGAGCTTGAGTTTTGCTATATTCCAGACCTACCCGGTACCATTTGGTGGACAGTGCCCATAAAAAAGTAAGGGATTAGAGGGAAAAAGGATGAGTAGAGTCCATTGACTGGAGGCAGGTTGGCTAACAAGGCGAAAGCCATTCCTGCCAAGAGAAGAAGAGCGTCAATGAGGCGTTAAATCTAAGGCATGAATGTAATCTAATGGAGCGATTACATCAGCCCATGCTATATATCCATCTGTGCTGTAAAGATCATTTTCTAAGTTCTATGTTTTGTGTTCCAAATTTCTCTAATCTTTATAATGATATTGGGAATCGGTTTTCGCATTACGACAGTCACCCATATGTTACAGAAAAACACAACATGGTAAAAATTATAGAAAGGATTTTGGTGTCAAGATCTGTCCGTCGTGTTCTTTTTTAACCAGCAGGTGTCACTGGTCACCCCATTTCTGCCTAATGTGTCAGTCACTTGCACCTGTCTCTGCTTAAACCCTTGTTACCTATGTATACATGCGTTTGCCCTGGCCTGATTGCCCAGAGAGTGCCTGATGTTTGACGTTAGTTGGAAATCTCACTGGAGTACAACCCTGTTGGATTACCCATAGACCCTCCTGAAAGTGTCTCCCAGCCTCCTGTTTTGGACTCCTTGTGGTCCTTTGTTCTGTTTCATCTGTGTTTTGGTTTATAATAAATCCCCTTCAGTTAATCCTAAGACTGTGTTTGGATTCTGACACTTATAGACATAGAATAACTTACATTGATTTCGCAACATATTTGCAAATTGGCCCCTAGACGTCACATTTTTTTAATTAGCTAATGCTTTTATCAAAATAAACATACATTTCTGAGAAAGTAGGGCCAGACAGTTCCTGAAGCAAATTTTAAATTTAAACTTTCCAATCACAGACACAGCATCCAACCCGACTGATTGACACACCCAAATAAGTTATATTCCTTTTATAGGTTTTGCCAGACACTTGAATCAACGAACACAGTAGCAAGCCACAAGACGGACCTTGGGGAACCTGGATGGTGCCTGCGCTGATGCCACTGATGACATCACACAGGAGGTTCTGCTTGAACTTATATTTGGGCAGCCAGCTGAGCACTGGCAGGTGTCTGAACAGCAAAGCCTTGATGCGAGGTCCTGAACACCTGGGGGGGGACATATACTTACAGCAGATCATACTCCCACTACCACCCCCCTCTACAGTTTCAGTTCTCACAAGGTGATACATGGGTAGAGATACATTTCGTAGTGGACCAAACAAGGTTCTACTTTATACTGAGTGATTCAACCCTCAAAAAATTAAAACATAGTGAAAATACCTGAAAAATTTTCCAATTTTCTCCCGTAATGGGAAAGTGCGGCTCTTTTTGTCGTATTCCGCATCAAAGCAAGGCAGGGAGTACACAGGTCTGTCGATCACATAGCGAGCTGATTCCTGGTACATGGCGTCTGGAAATCAGTGGTCAGGTGATGAAACTGACCTCAGGAACTACTGGGAAAAAGATATGAAGCATCTTTGATGCAATGCAACTACACGTTTCTAAGACATAGGTGACTTAGGAAAAAGTCGGGAAAACATGAGAATAAGCTTTTGAAAATGAAATGTTTTCGCACTTTTTAGCAGTATAAATATTGCTACTTTGTATGCCTGTTCTAGGCTTATCAAGTTTATGAATTATATACAGCCATATGACCTCAGCCCATGGCCATTGTTTTAAACATCATGCAGTGACCACCGTTTGCCTAATGGTTAAAGAAATCCAACTGTAACCATCTATACTGAATGTTTTGTTTGAGTTGAGAAATCCATAGGGTCTGTAAAAAACATCTACACTGTCAGAAAATGACATTTAATGTACCCTCCAATGGTACAAAACTGCTCTTCAGAGTCTGGTTCTGTGTTTTAAATTAGACTAAAAAGTACAAGTAAGTATACCCTCACAGGTACAAATTGTTTTTTCTGACAGTGTCATTCATTTTCAACTTGTATCATCTCGTATGATGCAAATCATCAATAGGAATAAAACAATGTTAAAAAAACATTCTCAACTCGCCTATTTTCAGTACACTTCACACATTATGTGTGTTTTTTTACTCTACCCTCTATGCACAGGTTCTTTATCTGACCTTGAAGGAAATTGCCAGGTACACTATCATTCTGATAACACAAGAGAGCACAAGTTCTCCATTACATAGATGCTCATTACACAAACCAGACGCCCACACCTCAACCCAAACAGGCAGAATCAAATATTAGCAGCTCCTGTAGTCACTTTTCCCTGACGCCAAGTAAAACACCAGCAAGGAGACCTCAATATCAAACGAAATTCATGTTTCATAATTTAACTTGTATTTTATCCTCAGTAAAACACTACACCTAAGAAATAAAATCTACAAATAACTTCTATGTGGAAGGGTGAGAAATTGAATCATTTGACAAGTTGTTTTCATGAAAGGTACTATGAAAAAAATGATCAACCCAGAAACTTATGACTTGATTCCATTCGGCCAGGCACAGTCAACCTGATACATAGGTCACCACCTTCCAGCATGTTCAGAAAGTGATGTGTGAAATTCCAAACTCAGGGAAAAAGCAACAATTGAACAATTATAGCATGAATGATTGCTGCTGCGGCCATACTGACTTACCTTACCAATGGGCTGTATTGCTAGGGTCATTCGCCTCAAATCAAATGACACTCCACAGCTCAAGCACTGGTGGAGTTAATTGTTGGTTTTATACCAGGGGAGGGCTGGCACGGTCTCTGTGGGAGGGGCCATACAGCTCAGTCTGCCGTCTCATTCTGCCACTTTTGCAACCAGGAGCACCAGCAGAGACTTCACTTTTCATGCCTCTTTGCTGTTCTTGATTTTGCAGTGAAAATATAATTGAAGAACAATTAAATTTAATGCATATTTAATGTCTATAATAAGATGTATCTATAATAAAAGGCTATAAAGGTAACACATTTATCAAAGGCTGTAGGTGCTTTTGTTGATCATAGAACAGGTGGACCTCGCCAACTCCCCTGTCATAATGCTCAGGAAGACGGCAGATACCAGAGTAATACACCATATACATGGAGTCCTAGAGGAGACCAAGCTCAAATCACATCTTTGAGGAATCATAAACTGAAAGAATTCAACGTTGGCTGAAGAAGGCGAGGATATCCATGAGCAAAAGCGGTAAGAATCAGAAAATAACTCGGCTGTGGGAAAACAGCAGCTTCAGTGCAGCCTTTCAGAATCTTCGCCAAAACATCTGACGTTCTTAAGACACCATAGAACTCCAACAGTTTGCTGTAAATTTCAGCTATTTACTAGAGAATGAGAGCGGTCACCTCTGTTTCCTTTTGCCAAGGGTTGAAAGCAAGGAGGGGCCAATGTGTGGCATTGAAAGTCCTTCACCTAATTAAACAACTTTGGAGTATGAACATTCCACTCATGCACTGTGCAAAAGCTAAAAAATATTAATAATTAAAAGTAGCACTTGTGTTATTATTATGTAAACATATATATCAGGGGTGGGCAGCCTTATCTACAAAGGGCCGCTGTGTATGCAGGGTTTTGGGATAACCTTTAGGTCAGCTGTTCAAACCCAGGTGCGAGGACTCTTCAGCCAATCAGTCCTCTAATTAGTGAAAACCCCTATACACAGCGGCCCTTTCTGGATACGATTGCTCACCCCTGATATATATCATATGTCATCACTGTTTGGTATTGATATAAACCAGGGTTATTCAACTCACGGTCCTCGAGGTCCGAGCCCTGCTGGTTTTCCAGCCTTCTTTTACCTGTCAGTCAGGTGTGAAGCCTCTGACCAATCAGAATCAGCAATTATTAAACAACTACCTGGGGGAACTGAAAACACGGCCTGGATTTGGAATCGTGGTCCAGAGTTGAAGAACCCTGATATAAACCTTATTCTTAATAATTTCTGGGGAAGTGTTGCTTTTGCCAGTAGGTGTTACTCAATGCATTGGGAAATAGAAACACAGATCTGGAATTTAAAATTCCCCCATTCAAAGCCAAGAGTACTGCAAACTGGAACAAAAATCATTACATAGGATAAGGCCGTATAATTTTGAGAGTTAGTGATAAAAGTTAGAAAGGCATTTTATACAGTCTCAAATAATAAATTTGATTTAGGATGACTCATTTATTAAGTTAATTTCTGCAAGATTAGGGGTTGCCAGCCTTTTAATGTCCTCAACTCGTCTTAGTTTTAAGAAAGAAAAATTTATAAAAATGTGTTATGAGGAAATCAGTATCGTATCACAATTACAGGTATTAGTAAGTGAATTGTGCTTCACAAAGGCCAAAATGCAATTTTTTCACAGAAAGATGTTGGTTCAGTCCCGCTCCACCAGGCTCTTCAATATTTTTTTCCCCAGACTTCTCAACTCTGACCAATTCTATAAACACTGATAAATGCTTGTTTGCAATACACCGTGTCTGAATCTGTTATTTGCACAGTCTGTTTACGTTTACTGTTTACTTGTAGTATTTGTAATCTCATTGTTGTTGTCCATTGTTGTGTATTGTTTTTATTCTATTTTTATTTTTATTGTTTACATTTTTATTTTATTGTATATTCATTACTTATTCTCCTCCCAGTGTTTATTGTTCTGTGTTTGTTCTTAACTATTCTGTTCTGGTTGTAGGCCTATTCTGCTCCACAGAAACGCAATTTCGTTGCATATGTGTGAAATGACAATAAAGAGACTTGACTAATTCTAATTATGTTCACCAAGATTAATGTGGAATGAAATGAAGATATAATTCCTTACCGATTCCAGTATATATTGGTACAATGCGTTATAATAATTTCGATCTTTTGCTTTCAGAATGTGTTTTGTAATTGAACTCAGTAAATATAAAATGTTAATCACAGGCGGTTCACTTGTCTGCCAAACTTCTAGGCATAGTATGTATGTATACTTTGTTCATGTGATTTAGAAAATCTACATATATTGAGTCAATCTAAAGTCTTTAGTGTCCCTTAGGTGGCAGTATCGACCATCTATTGCTCTTTAATTATATATCATTGTCCCCACCAATTCAGTACCATGTGTCTGTGAACTCCGGCTGTAATTCAGAAATTTTTAGGAAAGCAAATGGCTTCAGCTACTTGTTGAAAATCGACGTCAGTCAGTCGAGGAACCTGAACTGCTTATCACTGTGAAACTAGCCCAGCCTTTTCAGTTCTGAAAGCAGACACTAGAGCAGACATGCTCTTAAGCCATGACCAAACATACACATTCCTACGGCAAATACTGCGGTGACAGATCATAGAAAACATTGTGCAATATATTTAATTCATTTTCGCCGGAGATGTTAGTTAGCAAACCAGCCCGCTAAAGGTCCTTTTTTATTGATTTTGACAACATGCCGTAGTCTGGAAACTGCTCCAGAGTGTATGACTATTATATCATGTGCTGCTGCTTTCCAGTGATGCTAGACTGGCTACTTTTGGAATTTTTGTTCTTCTATGTTTTTCATTTCTTTTTATATGTTACCACTGCATTTATGATGACAAATCACCTAAGAGTTATATTTTCAAATACATGTATACAGGAGTAATTTGCTAGTTGATTTCATCCTGAAGTTCTTGTCAGAATCTTGTACTATGGGTCTTAGTATTGGAATTTTAGTGGAAGGGTGACATTTTTCTAGGCTACAAGTTATGTGTACGATTGTGAACAACACAGTACATTGAGTAACAATGTAACAGAAAAAAATGTACCTCTGCTTCCTCTAGAGGGCGCTGGTGATTACACTCCTCCTACAACAGCCTCCCTTTTCAAACTCCACTTGTGTTCAAAGGTAGCCACGGACAATCCTGTTGTTTCATGCCTAATCATCATAAAGTTTTGCGGTCAAGTGGATTGTGTGTCTCTCCAGAGCTGACAGTATTAAAACCATTCAGCCATTCTACTGGACTGGACAATTCTTTGGCACCAACACCTGAAAATTGAATCTACTTAAAATTCCACCTGAGCACACTGGAGCACATTTTCCCAGTTTCACGATTTTTCCTTACTAACAAATTGTGTTATTAAGTGATGAGTGTCTTTGATAACATCACACAAAGTCTACAGTTTAAGAATTGTCATAAAAGCATTCTGCCTTTCACACTGAGGTTAAGGGGTGACTGAAATATTAATCTATTGCTTATTATTGTAGAAAATTTGACATTTTTACTCAAAAGCAGTAAAGTGATTCCCCCTGTGTCCACTCCATATGATGACATCAAAAATATAGTTCAGTTCCGTGATGGACAAAATAATACCTCATGAAGCATTTGCTGTATTTTATGACCCCACTAAATTGTGCTCTTGGTTTGCTTTGGGACATGCTTGGTGGCATTTTTTTAACAGAGAGCACCACCTAGTGGGCTCAAAAAATGTATCAAATGGTTCATGAAGCGTCATTTTGTCCATCACTACTACAGTACGTCACGTCTATGTGACAATTACGAAACTGTGAACTATGTCATATTTGGTTTTGGGTGAATTTGTACAGCACCAAGAGTATCACAGCTTATTCTTTATAAAAAAGAAGTAAGCTTAGCAACAACGTCAAATTCTTGTCAGATTATCTTCAGATTATATACATACATGGTAAAAATATGAAAATGATGGTAAACCGCCCACATAGTCAAATGAGGAGATGAAAACAGGCATATTTAAATAAATTACTCTGACCCTCCTATAACAGTAATACACATGGTTACTGCAGCCATCCATCCAGTCATTTTTTGCCCTGTCCTATTCAGGCTCTCAAAATTTTTTACATTTTGGCCATTTTCAGAGCCTTGCAAGAAGAAAAGTACATAAGATACAGCTGGTGCTCTGATTATATTTTTGAATTCTACAGACAAGTTAGCCCTAGTCACAGAGTTGCAAGCTGTACGTATCAAAGGAGCTACGAATGCTGGAATTTGCACCAAAATGAGGAGTTTGGCAAACTGTATAAAATAATTTAAAAATTCACAAGGCTGTAGTTTCAAATCTATTACAGAAACAGACCTAATATTTGGGATTTCACTGTAATTTATATTATTTAGAAGCACCTACAATTTTTTTTCAGAGAAATCTGTGAGGGTGACCTGGGAATTTTTTCTCAAACTTGGTGATTTGATATCACTTCATAAAAATATGTGTCTCGTCTGAAGTTCACTGTTATAGGCCCTACAAACACAATTTTTTAATCTATAAGTATTAACTGCAGATATTTTTGAGGTATCATTTTGCTCAAAACTGCACCGTATCAATGTAATATGTTAAATTGTTATTTAGCTCTGTAATGATACTATTTAGCTCTGCTATTCAAATATCAATACATGCTATGCAAACACTAGTAGTTTTACATTACATCTGAGATATACTGTAATGTAAGGTGTTGATTCACACGGATTTTACATTCAGGGTGCAGTGATCAACTTCAACCACAAGAGGTCATGGTTTGATAACAGGAAGCATTAATAAGTGCCATGTTGTGTCCGGCTTAATCTAGCCTATTTCGTTCATTTCCCGACAATATACACAACTTACTGTTTCTGATGCTACAACGGACTGAAAGTGTTTTACAGGAGCGTACATGTTAAGCCAATGTCTTCGCTACTGTAAGTTGGCGTTCCAGAGTAATCAGCATATTACAGATTGAATGTCTGAAGTCATATTCAAAGTTTACCATAAAAATTGAATTTCGGTAAGAAAAATACAGAATACTTTGAACAGTGACAACATAATTTATTATATATCAGCAGATGATGAGCCAGAATTGTAAAAGTTGAGTGTGCATGGAGAATACAACATATTCCATAACAACTAGCACCTCGTTTCAAACTACAACACATTTCCTTTACCATATTTAGCCAACACACAACATTCTACATGTTTCATGTTTGATAGCACTACTAAGTTCTCTAAACTACCATATGAAGAACAGTTGAGATTTGTTAAGTTCTGACCAAATGGAGGCGTGCTGCACTGTTTGACAATATATTTCTAATACTCCTCTCCCTCTTCTTCTCCCTCCCCCTCAATGGAGT